CTTCTGTTTTCTCTAAAGACTTAAGTGTATGTGATATTTTCTTCCGGGTGAAGAACCTAGTTATGGGGAGTTGCTGGCGCTGTCTGTTGGACGAGAAGGTTTTTATAAACTAACATGCCACCCTCGATTGTATTTGAAAACTGCAACGAGCGAAAAATCTGGTGGTCCCATTATTGAGCCAGAAATAAATTCTTTGGCCATTCTAATCATGGTTAGGAGGCGATCGAGTGTTTGGCCAACCTCCTCTTCTTCTTCTTCTACCGTAGTTCCTCTTCTCCCTCTTCCTCGTTTGCTGACTTTGTCATCTCCGTCAGATCTTCGTCCGTAAACGGTTGTAAGTGGACATCTATTAGGTAATTAACGTCATAAGGAGTTATATCGGCGAAGCCGTCTCCACTAAGTAGTTTCGCTAGCTTAACGACCCATTGGCCGCAGAGTGATAGACCTCATCAGGAGAGAAACCTTTATAATCATGAACCACTTCTGACCACAGAATTTTCCAGCTAGCATTAAAAGTTTCACTTTCTACCTCCTTTATGGCCTTCTGAACATTAAGGAGACACTAGGCAACAGTGTATTCGCTCAGTAAGCCTTTAGCGAGAATTCTTCCTCTGAGTCCATAGCCTCAACGCGGGTTCTTAGGTCGTTCCGTATAAAGAGAGCCTTAAATGCTCGAATAACGCCTTGATCCGTGGCCTGAATCAGTTGTATGGTGTTCGGCGGCAAGAACTCCATCTGCATGCAATCATACGACAGATCGACGGCGTGGCCTCCAGCTTTGTCGATGATCAGAAGCACTTAGAATTTGAGGCCTTTCTCTGCCAGAAAAAAACTTGACCTCCGGGGTAAAGCACCGGTGGAACCAATCCGACGTGAGCTGTTTCGAGATCCAGGCCTTGATGTTGTGCATCCACTACACAGGCAGCACATTCTTATTCTTGTTTTTAAGGCCCTTGGGTGTTTGGGCTTGTAAATAAGCTCTGGCTGTATCATAAAGCACGCAGCATTCCCTACATAATCAAAATGGCACGATGTTTTGGGCCTTAAAGCCAGGTGCTTTGGCTTCATCCTTCATAATAAATGTTCGAAAGGGCATTCGCTTCCAGAATAGTCCCGTCTGATTCATATTAAAACCAGTTCAGGTTTATAGTCCCCTTCCTCGATGATGGTTTTGAATGTGTTGTTCACGTACTCCTCGGCTCCGGTTTTATCCGCAGAGGCTGCTTCTCCATGCAGAGAAAAGCTCTTAAGTCCAAAGCGTTTCTGAAACTTGTCAAACCAGCCCCTACTCGCATGGAAATAGGTTAGTCTGATAGGAGAAGGACTCTATGACCCTGCTTTTACGTTGTCGTTCTCGTTGCTGCCTTCAGCAAAAGCTTCGTAAAGCTCCTTGGCGTTCACGCGGATGATGTTGATATCCAAAGAGATATTCTTCTTCCTTCAGTCATTGATCCACAGCACCAATGCAAACTCCATCCTCACAAAAACCCTATTGCGGGAAGTTACCACTCTCTTCGCTGTCTTGTTAAGAGACACTGCTGCCGTCTTCGAACTGAAGATCCATTGATCCCGTATCTGCGGCCTACAGGCGCATAGTTTCTCCCTTCCTTTATCATTTCGAGGTGATCCGTCTTTTCTGCGATGGTAAGCATCTTCCTATGGAGCTTGGGTTCGGTGTCAGAAACCTTTGAAGGCGCAGAATGTTT